GTGAAAAAGATTATGGGAATATCTGTAAATTTTGCAAATACTAGCTCATACGTTTCTCTATTTTTATAGATGTTTCCACATTAAAAATAAGCTATCAAACTTTTTAGTAAATCCTCATCTCTAAATTGTTGAGCGAGAGAAAATTTCAATTTAAAAGAATATCCTGTATTAAAAGCTGAACGTTTTTGAGCCACAACATAAAAACAACCCTCTCCTGTAGCAAACCCAGCGAATCAATTAGGATTAGGTATTTTTTGTACTTGCTCTGCTACTACACATTTGTCTGCTAAATTTACATTTGGAAAAGCAGCTTTTAGCTCAGGAGATAACCCCAAATTAAGTGAACCTTTAAGGGCTACTAATTTGTATAGACCTTCCTGTGACAGATGTTCTTGGCGAATTATCATATTATATGCTTGCTTGAATAAAGAATAGTCCACTAATTTTTTTGTTATTAAAGGATACTTGTCCAAATGATTAAATATTACTTGCAAATCTTTGATGGAAGATACACGCAGAATAACGGACTGTGAACCGTGTTTATGAATTTTTCCTACACCAAAATAGGTTTTTATCTGCTCCAATATTGAAATATCTTTTTGATGTAAGGCAATTTGAAAAAAGAGTTGAACTGTTCAACCAAATTTACTATGTTTATTTTTAGAAATACCTAAAGTAAAACACCCCTCTGCGTCCACGAAGCCTGTTAAAAATCAGGGGTCCATTATTAAATTAGGTTCTTCACATTGTTGAACAGGTTTGGAAGAATAGTATCTTAATATATTTCTATTTACTTTGTTAAATTGAGGCATATTAAATTATAAATTTATGGATTAAATACTTTAATGTAGAGTATTTGCGTCAAGTATTTGACGAAAAGATTGAAATTTTTTTGCTAGTTCATCAGCGTACGAAGTGTGCTGAAGAAAACTTAAATTTGGCTACTACCGTAGGAAAAAAAGATTATACTACTATATTTAAAGGATTTTAATTATTTTAATATTTACTACATTTAAAGCGGCTTATAACAACCGTCATATTGATTATGTTAATTTTTATTGTCATTTACACTAATTGAAGCTAGTAAAAACAATAATAAAATTAAACTAGCACTAGTTTCAGATAGGTAAAGAATGAATATAAAAGAGATAAAGAATGAACATAAAAGAGATAAGCCCTCCGTAGGGCTAAAAAAATATAAAGCATAACCTATACCTTACCCTCTGCATTAATGCAGAGGGTTAGAAAAAGTCTTGGATAGATTGAATTAAAGCTCTATCCTTTTCATGCATCTTTATTTGAATCCTAGCTTGTACATTTCACCCTGTTTATACCTAGCATTTTTTAAAACTGTAACTACAAAAGAACCTTCCTCCGAAGGAGCACTACGTAGAAAAGTCCTGAAATAAACCCAGGAGAACAAGATGATAAAGAATTTTTAGAATAGTTAGTAGTAGAATAATTTTTCTCCGAAGGGCGGATTAGTAAAATAACTTCTTACTATTCTTTTTCTAATATTAACATTCCTTGGTACGTATACACAAGGTAAAGAATAAGTTTTATTGCCACAGGATAGACATAATGGAATTAAAGAAGATGAAAATCTATAGAAAGCGACTAGAATACCTAAACCTATTGCTGACTCGGCTCCTGCTACTACAATTATATAGATAGCGTAAGTTTGCCCGATTATGTCATCAATGTTCAGTGAACTTACCAATATAAGGAAAGTTATAGATAAAAGCATTATTTCTATTGAAATAAGCATTAATATAATATTTTTTCTATTTAATACGAATCCTAAGACTCCGATCAAAAAAAGTATTAAGGTTAAATTCATTGTATGATTATTTTTAAAATTTAATTATAAAAAAAAAAAAATTAGGAAGGAACTTCCACACGAAGTGCGAAGTGCACCTACAAAATAAAAACAGTGTTTATTTTAAACGAATACCTATCTTCACAGCATAAGTATATTGATTTATTATTAAGAACATACCTTAAAATACGCGTACGTAGTAGCCGGAAAAGTTCATTAGATCCCTCTTTTAAAGAAGGGAGGAGGAACTCCCACCCCCCCCCGGCTACTTCTCCTACGAAGTTAGGGTGCATACACGCGTGGATGAAACACCTCACTTTATAAGATGAATAAACATAAAGCTACCTCCAAGTATATTCTACCATACGATTATTTTTACATACAAAGAAAGTATATCGAAGAAATAAATATTTTTTTTTTTTAGCTTAAAAACTAGTTCGCACACTTCGGATGAAAAGGTAGGGCAAAGTTCCCTAAGGATCTATTTATCCTTTTTTGAATTCACAAGAATAGATATTTCTTTCTGGACCCTTTTAATTTCACCTTGGCTATATTCTACCTCAGATCTATATTTCTTTAACACTTTATTATTTAAATCTGAATAATATTTAGGGTCTAAGCTTTTAATTTCAGCATATAATCTTTGGACAAGATTTTCCATCTTGGAATTTCGGCTTTTAATATAACTATTATGTAGGTCAAATTCTTTCTTGTGATATTTAGGATCCTTCTTGTCAAGAGATGAACATTTATTATCATATTCTTCCCACAAATTACGTAGCTCAACGTTAAAAGTTTGTTCTATTTCCTTTAATAAGGAATATGAAACTTTACTTTTATTAGCTAAAATTAATTTCATTCTTAACTCCTGATTTTTAGATGCTAACTTCGACATTAAATCCATTTTAACCTCGACATCCTTATGTGTATTATTCATGGAAAGTTTTTGTAAATCACTGAGAAGTTTTTGACGTTCCTCAATAATTTTATCTATTATATTAAGTTGATTTTGAAAATGATTACTTGCAGAACTACTGCTACCACTACTCTGGCCACTACCGTTATCGTTACCGCTATTACTATCACTACCCTTAGTGCTACCGCTGACTGATCCTACAGTATCAGTATTTTGACCAACATATTGCCCAGGTTTTTTACTAGACGGTCCAGGATTTTCCATTAATAAATATAATGGAAAAGGTTTAGGTATAAACTGTTCTTTTATTGAATTTAAAATATAAGCTAAAGACATTGAAGGTATTTCTCGACTAAACATAAAACCTATTAAAGGATAACCTATAATAGTAGTAAAAGATATAAGAGCCATATTAAAACAAAAGATGTAAAAGAATTCACCCCAACCCATCTCTTTATCTTTACACTTTATGCACTGCTGTGTTTTAGCTATAATATAAGATATAAAACCTGATAGTATTATTATAACTAAAAAAGGGGCTCCTGTAAGCGTAGCTAATTGTTTTAAAGGAAAAGAAAATAATATGTACATAATAACACTAATCATTAGAGTTAAAATTACATTTGATTTTTTGCACTTAAAAATAAAAGTCGTTTTTTTTTCTATTTAATTTACATTAAAGCCAGACTATATCTTCATCCGTTAAGACTTAACGGAGTACCACGTGTAGTCGTTGAGGAGCCTACTAAATAAAAGTGTTTAATACTGCGCACGAAGTTAGGCTGGCTTCGTAGCAAAAAAAATTAAGCGTAACCTATGAAGTACTACGTAGCCCTTTTATCTTTGGTTTCCTGCTGATTGTCCTTATCAGTATTAATAGCAATATATCTAACCTCTAATTAATATCTGAGGATTTCCCAGCATATAGTGGTATAATTATCCATTCGAATACTATAATTATCTATTATAATACTAAAAATAGACGGCACCTATATTGCTTTTTGAATTTATGATGAGATGATACAAGAGCAATATTTAATATATTTGATTGGGATATTTAACATCTTCCTCCACTAAAGGGAGGACCCCTCCACCCATAATCCCCCCCCCCCCCTGGGGGGATAAGGAGAAGTTGGGAGGACGTACGTCCTAGATTCCTGATGCCCCACCTTACGAATCAGGATATGACTACCAACCCCTTTCTCTAATTTAAAAATAGCCTCTAGTTATAATATTCAGCTATAATACTGAATATTAAATTCCCTACAAATTATTAACTTCCAATTATTACGTTAAAAATAATGCAATTATTTTTATTTTTTGACCGTAGGTCAAAAACTTTATTACGTTTAAATAATATACTACTATAAATACAGTAAGCCAATTAAAGATAAGAATAATTATAGATAAAAGCATTATTTCTATTGAAATAAGCATTAATATAATATTTTTTCTATTTATAATAAAATTATGAAGATACTTACCTTGATATTCGCCCGAAGGTGAACAGTAAAAAAAGGAACTTCCAGTTATTTTGTTTATAATGATAATGGTCAAGTGTTTAAATCTTTTAAGATTTTAATCATATTAGCATTATTCTCTTCTAACAATGCAATATGTTCTCTTAATTTATTGTTAACAAAAGCCATCGTTGCAGAATCAATTTTTGACCCTGCCCTTGAACCTGAACCTTCAGCTTGCTGAGTACTAGATTGCCCGGTATTAGTAGGTACACCAGCTTCTCCCCCCCCAACTACCATACTCATAGTTTGGGGGGGGGGGTTGAAGCTGTGAAAAATAAAGCCACAAGTATTTCTTGTAAACCCAATTTGGCTATTCCTGCGTAGCGCTCCTCCGCTAAACAATAAACCTAATAAAGGATAACAAATAATATAAATAATGTCATTGAACTCATTTAAGAATTAAATAAAAATAGTACCAATACTTAATCATTCTTTATTCATAAATATAAATAATAAAATTGCTAAAGTTATTATAGAAATTGTAATAGCCATAGGGCTAGACATAACTATATTATTAGGATTAAATCTAATAGATTCAATAATAAAGCTTATTAAGCTTTTTAATATAGCATATAATAAAGCTATTATGGCAATTCTATTATAAAGAATTGACATATCTCGTCTTAAACTGACGGCATTCGAAATTAATAATAAAAGTGTAGAAAAGATTGATTCTCATAATTGGGTTAAACTAAGTAGAAAACTTCTCAGTACTAGTAAAAAAAAAAACGATTTCCTACTTAAGTGCGTACAAGACTCGAACTTGTACCGTAACGACCGTAGCGTTAGGTTCTACCATTAAACTAACACACTTTAATATAGACAATATATTGTATATATATATATATACGTAATATTTTAATTAAGGAGGCGAAGCCGTAATATGCGGATAAAAAAAAATATAAAAATTAACTCCTTTCTTACTAATTTTGACTTCCACACGATAAATTATTCACAAAAGCAACAACACACTGCAAATTTTTTTAATCTATACTTATCCCCCTAGCGAAGCCATCTTCTTCGCGACCCCGCAAAATAAAAAAAAAATTATGAATAGAAAGCAAGTTTCAAATACTTATTAGATATGTACAAGATTCTAACTTGTAAATAAATAGCCGAAATATTAAATTTTACCATTAACACACCTTAATGGGCTTTAAGACAGATTAAACCAACCTCTTCACCCTAATTTCCCTACTCTAAAAAAAAAGTAAAGAATAACGCTTAACATCTAACAAAAATTCTTAACTAAATGAAACCGTCGTTTAAATATTATATTTATAAAGTATAAGTATAAAAGGGGCTGAAGCTTCAACTCTTCTTACCGTGGGTAAAATTACTATATCTAAGTGATATAAACCTGTACTTATATTAATATACGACAACAGCAAAACTAGCCGCCATACTAGGATACTATTAATTAGGGGGGGGGGGGGGGTCGATCCGTGGATCGACCCCCCCCCCCCCCTCCTACATATATACAAACGTATATGTAGGAAAATATTATTTACTATTGTTCACTAAGTCAAGTTAAAAACTTTTCTAATGAAACTGATTCTATTACAATAGGCATACTTGAGTGTAAAATTCCACATGCTTCTTACTAAAAAAAAAAAAATTTTTTTTTTTCATTGTATGATTATTATAAAAATAAATTATATTGAAAAAGTAGTCAGAAGTAACTATCCACTACTATTCTGTTAGATAATCTCCTACATGGTGCCCGACCTCGCATCAGGCGGCTACCATCTCCTTAAAAATATAAGCCTCCCTCTGGTTATTAAACTAATACATCCAAATACAATATGGATGTATTTATAATTACAGCTAACACACTATCTACACAATCGTAAAGGTAAACTTATAAATACATAAAGCTTGGATAGCCTTAATAACTATTACTAAGTTAGTCTTAATATATGATTAACTATATACTTTTTATTTTGCTCTCCGTATACCTCAAAGAATACCCATAAATTTTTACTACTTATTTTGCAACTAAATAAAAAGCTAAGCAAACAAAAGACAATAAAGGGGGGGGGTTACGCTTAATATAAAATTGCGACTACCCTTCTAATATTAATGCGAAACCAAGCCAACAAAGAATAAAATTAGGTTGGATAAATAAAATATTTAGAATCTAAAAAAAAAAAGAACTAATCTCTCCTTAACGGAGTGGTGAACACATAGAAAAACCGAAATCAATAAAAATAATTGAAAGTATAAACTTTTAGATCTTGTCAAACTAACGATAAAAAAACCTAATCCCTTATCCCCCCCCTAATGAAATTTATTCGTAGGGGGGGGGGGGGGATTAGGGGGGGGGGGGGGGGGGATAAGCGCAGCGGTAAAAAAAGAAATATAATAGATAAATTTTATTTTTAACGGCGAGGCTTTGCTATACCTTTACCTTTCCCTTCATAATTTTATTCAGAACCCGAAGAAGATGAAGGACGAGGTAATATTGGTCTAGGTGCACCTCTATTAGCAGCTTGACTACTACTTTCCGCCTCAGTAACAGGATTGGCCTTTCTTACCATATATAATCAGTGTTTATAATCTTTACCAATCATTGTTTCATAATCTTGGTCAGTTTGGTCCGACTTTTTAGGCCTTTTATTACGAAGATCCGAGGCAGAGCCGAGGATCAACCCCCGGAGGGGGTGGATATTCTTTAATTTCTTCAATTTCGGCTTTACTTCTGAATTTCCTTTTTGGTTTATTTTAGATTTCTTCCAAATCAAAAGGTTTATTTTGGATTTCCTCCAAATCAAAAGGTTTATTATACTTTACCCTCTGGAAAATTCTAGATATTCTTCTATTTCAATCTTTATCTGTTTCACCAGATAATTGAGGGTATTCTGCTTTGACTTTAGCTTTCATAGTTAAAGGAGCTTTAGCTTTCATAGTTAAAGGAGCTTTATCCTTATACCTAGTTTCTGCCAAAATTTTTGTTCTAAATTTATCATATTCTCAAAATCCATATTGATAACGATTTTCATCAGTTCTAGTATCACGAAACGTATCTAAAACAAATAATTTAATCTCTCTCAATTTTTTACTCTGTTCTTCCCCTACGGGGACCCTTTAGGGGACCCTTAGGGGTCCCGTGTATCTTTTTCACTATAGTGAAAAAGATTATGGGAAAAGGTGGTAAATTTTCTCACTCATCCCTCCGAATTTCTTTTAAGCTCTTAAAGGAATCATTTATTATTTTTCAATTAAGATTATCTTCGTGTAACTTAGCACGAATTTTATTTTTATCAGGATCTGGCTCTACGAAGTGCGACTACACCATAATGACCTTTTGGAGGTTGAGGTCCTCCAGGTTTTTCTGGTGGTTTTCCTGCGTAGCGCTCCACCTGCGGGTTCCCCAAAACCTCCTGGACGATTTGAACCACCTCCTATTGGATTTTTTAACATTTTCACAATATATTGTGAAATCATTTTAACAATCTCTGTAATAATGTGGAGAACAAATTCGTTTAAATAAAAAAAAAAAAAAGAATTGCTAAAAAAAATAAAATAACCGAAAAAAAAAAGGATTAAACTATTATATAATAAAGGACGATTAATTTTTAATCATGAACTATTAATTACAAATAAAAAAGGATAGATATAATACTATACAGAAAATTACATAAATAAAACCCAAAAAACCTAAGAAATTAGTTTTTTGAATATCCATATTCAAAAATAATCAACTTAATAAAATATTATAACTAAAATATATAAAACTAGAACTACAAAAAAATGTAATTATATAATTTACATTTCTAGGGCAAAAACAAAACCATATTTTTTATAACCTAACGAAGTAAGCTTGCGCAGAAAAAATTATTTATAATATAAAAATATCTTTCTCTTACCCTCTGCATTAATGCAGAGGGTTAAAAAGAGAAAAAAGATTATTTCTAATATCAACATAATAAGTATGCAATCAATTAAAAATATGTTTATTTATATTGTGACTGAATTTATTAGAAAAATATGCAAAACCTATTATACTTTTTAATAAAGCATAACTATTACTATTTTTAGAAAAACTTATTAAGTTTTGTAATATAGCATATAATAAAGCTATTATGGCAATTCTATTATAAAGAATTGACATATCTCGTCTTAAACTGACGGCATTCGAAATTAAAAATAAAAGTGTTGAAAGTATTATCATAATTGGGTTAAAAATTTTTGTTCGTAAACTCTAGCCTCAAATTGTGTAAAAGATCGTAATATAAACAGTGAATCTAAGCTTAACACGATTTAAGGGCTTAACTTAATAAAGGGGGGGGGGGGGGTAATACGATCCACCGATCGACCCCCCCCCCCCTCCTCCTACATAGTTACAAATGTATATGTAAGAAAAGAATATTTACTATTGTTCGCTTAATCATGTTAAGAATTTTTCTAAACTAACTGATTCAATAACAATAGGCATTGAGCTGTGAAGAATCCCACAGATTTCCGAGCATTGTCCGTAAAAAACTCCTTCTCTGTTGATAAAGACAGATACTTGATTTCGTTTTACCCTAATATTTTCATATTAAGACTGACTATATCTTAAGCTATCAATAAAATTTTAAATACAAATTTAGATCAAACCAACTTACATTTAGTCGATGAACTGCACACCTTTTCGTTTTTAGCGCTAAACTGAACCAATAAACAATAGGTGCTTGGCTGCGGATTATCTATTTCATTTATTCATACAAACCGTTTTTACCATACAACGAGTCATTACCTGTTCCATTAATTACATTACTGTTTTAACTTGGTAGATTTGTCTTTAAGAACTCCCCGCAATTTGAAAGTTTCGCCTTATCCCTTTTTTATTGGAAGACTAGACAAAGGTTCACTTTCCCTTTTTTGATCAAAAAAAAAATAATCTACCTGGATAGGCATCACATTTAATACCTAATGAAGGACAAGCGAAAGACGTCACACAAATTTATCTTATTATAAATTTTCCTTTATTTTTAGCTTCCTCTTTATCATCGAAAATAATAATAAAGGGAACCTCGTTTTTTTTTTTTACTTATCCCTAATCCAAATCTTTCTCACATTGTGAGAAAGATAACGGAGGGGGATTAGGGATTAGGGATTAGGAGAGTCTGTAAATAAGCAATTAAATCTTTGTTTACACTAAAAACAACATTTAATACTATTTTTAGAAGATATAACCATTGTAGGATTCACCTGTATTCAGAATTTTAGCGATCTTATTTCTATCCATTGTTATGTCTAGTGATTTAAAATATTTTACTATAGCTATGATACTAGGAAACTCTAATGTTTCTCCTGTTTCCATTGCTTTTATAGTAACAGGTTTACTAAATTTTGCTCTTCCCCTAGGGGGACCCTCCAGGACCCTAGGGGTCCCGTGTATCTTTTTCACTATAGTGAAAAAGATTATGGGAAGAAGCATCACTTAAAAACAGAGTTTTTTTTTCTGAAATTAAACTAGCTAGCTCGACAAGACTTAAATTAGCCTGATTTGCACCTACAACAGGAATATCCGTAATCTTAAAGAAATTTAAATAATTATTACCCTTAATACAACTTTTACAAGTATAGGGGTGTATACCAAGATCACCTTGTATTTGACTTAAAGATTTAGAAGAATAATATAAAGTTTTTCCTTTTAAATCATATAAATAAATTTGGTTACCCTGATTAACCCTAAAATTTACGATTCTTTGGGAATTTAAATTAAAACTTTCATGTAATAAATAGTATTGCTCCAAAAATAAAAAATAGTAATCAGAAGAAAACTCTGAAGGCATTACAAAAACTTCTAAATTAAACTTATCAAA